AACTTCTTCGGATATTGTAGCAAAGCCTTGGTTTATAATCTATGCCAAATTTCGTGACGATATCCTTTCGAGAAAATAGAAAGTTCGCAAAATTTTAAGCCGATATTTAGAAAATAGAGGGTATATGCAGATGGAAAGACGGACATGATTAAATCGGCTCAGCATGTCACGCTGATTATTTATATACATATATGTACTTTGCTGCGTCTTTGACGTTTCCTTTTGTGTGTTACAAACACCTTGTCAAACTCAATCTTCACTGCTCAGGGTATAAACAAGGTTAGGTTCGMTAAGTTAAATTTTATGGCTTAGTCTGGATGGAGAGATCAAAAATRCCATGTGAAATCAAAAATTATTTGAGAGTAGTATACATTTTTATATAGTAATTTTTTGGAGAACATCGTAAATATGCTAAGACGATCATTTCCATCAGTTGGCTACGGAAATGGGATTCTAGTTGCCTTAATCTTAGTCTCTTAAAAGAAAAACACTGAGAGATCAAATAATCTCTGACATCTCCACTTTTACTGGTATAAAATATTGCTTAGCTTTGTCGTTTGGTAATCGTCTGGGATTTCGAATACGATTAGGAAAGTTTGGCTTTAAAGTCGGTCACAATCATAATCTTTTTGAAAAAAACAAAAAAAAGAAAAGAAAGTTTTATTGGGATGAGTCGAGCAAGAGCACGTCTCATACCCAAAATATCCAGCAAAGTCATTCGAACGGACTCGCGAGAGATGTCGAGTTTTCTAGCCATCTCTTTAAAACTTTCCTAACGATTTTCCAGCACCATATTCTAGTTTTTGTTCTTTAAATTCAGTAGAAGCGGGCGACGGTCGTCCAGATCGAAACATGTAGCCATTGATCTCTCGAACGTCTTTGAAGGTCTTGTTCCACTCGTAGGCTTGAGTATTTGATATAACTGAATCGCCATAAGCCTTTTCCAACATTCGCAAAGATTCCGCAAACGAAATTTGCTTAGAAACACAAAATTTGAGACAAATTCTTTTGTCGATATATTTATCCATTGTAAAAATCGCAACGCACTACTGAGGTGTACCGTGTAAGTAGCTGCTGTAAACAAACTGGTTGAGAGATCATGCTCACATTTGGCATAGTAACTAAGGACAGTCCTACCAATTTAGCAAAATACATTTTTTGGAAAGATCATTTACTTTGGAAATTTAATTACAATTATCGGGTGCTTTTTTGTCATAATGTATATTGAATTTAAACCAACGATGAGACTCGTTGAGTAGCTTTATGTGAAAAAAAGTGTGGAAATTCCTCATAACATTTTCATTCAACAAGAAAACTGTAACCCCCACACTATGTCGCACTGACTTGTTTCTTGTTTTGCCTATCTCACATGCGCAACAACGCATTGCCAATCAACATAATCAAATAAAGGCGTATAGAGAGTGCAAGCGCAGGCGCAATAGCTCCAGCGCGCGCGTCACACGCACCAAACGCGTGGGGAATCGCAAAAATTAACACGACTTTTTCGCCTATTTTCATGCAGAGCAGCTTGTCAGCTTGCAACACAAACACCGTTGCGTCTACTATGCGCAGTTATACTATATATGTATGTGTGTACATATGTTTGTAACGCGTTGCTCCACGGCGCTTGTAAATTTGCAATTTAATGCATACATTATGTGTAAGTGATTTAATTTTCTGCCAGCAAGTGCATACGCAAGCCCGCCACCATGTATTTGCGCCTCATTTCCATGGCATATTTGTTGTTGCTTGCTCGCAAGTTGGGCTGCTGCGCAAGGCGCTTGGCTTTTCGGCGCATTTTCGCAATGCTTTTTTGCCATTTGATATTTTTTGTGTTTTATCTGTTGGCTTTTTCGCCTCATATGCGCGTGCGTGTGTGCATGTGTGCGTGTGTGCGTTTTTGCGCTAAGCGTTTTTCGCCTTTCAGCGGACAGCGCGCAATCTTTAAGTAGCTGTTAATTGGTTTGGCGCATGCGAATCGCACCGCAGCCAACCACCGAGAACTGACAAACAAATAGCTAGGCATGCAACATGACTAGCAATAAAAACAAACAAAATTCGCAA